GGGGCGGAGGGAGCGGGGCGGGCCTGGCCTGTGGGAGCGGCAGTCGGAGGCCTCGGGAAGGCGGAGGCCTTCATGGGAGCCCCGGCGAGTTGAGGCCAGAGGAGGAAGGGCCCAGGCCCCTGAATTCGCCTTCCTTATGCCAGTCACCAGACGCGTGTCAGCATTGAACAGACTGAACCAACGCCTGGGTGGCACGGGGCTGTTCTGAGCGATTTACAGACATTGAAACTTGTAACTCCCTAATAATGCAGAAGCTTTATTGCCTTTCCAGTTTTATGTATGAGGAAGCAAACAAGCACGTTCCAGTTTCCCATCACTCAGGTTTACCTTAATAATCCGCGCCTGCTGTGGAATTGCGCTGATGACCAGAGCGCTGTACTTGGCATTGGAAGTTCTATGGTCAGGTCGCTAGGAGAAGGGAACCCGGCCAGAGTATACCTGCCTTTCCTTAGCTGTAAAATGAAGATAATCCCATAAACCTGCTCTGGAAAGAAATGAGATCGCCCAGTGACTGGCACACAGCCTCCCTGTTGGTATGATTTCTTCATCTGTAGTGTTCTAGCTGGGTTAGTCTTTGAGTTTCCTGCCAGAACTGACTTCGATAGTATGAAAAAGTAAATTTTTTTCAACGTATTATTACCAGTACAGCTGTTTTTAAAACACCGACATGTTTCTCACAAATATCTCCTTGTAATAAATGTCCTATAAATATTTACTGAAGTTAAGAAATGAGTACTGCTCTCAGTGTTGTGTTGTATGCAGTTTGCTCTTTCTGATACTTAACTATGGTAGATATAATTATTAAATATCCAGATAAAATCTCAGCACTATGAGGCCTGGCGTCTCAGTTACACAGTAAGTTGCAGAAAAGGCAAGAACAGTGATGTAATTTTTGTTTTCAATTATTTACTTTATAAGCTTGTATGCAAGAGACCCAGGGTAGTTACTCCCATTTTAAAGTCTGCTTCCTGACACAAGATGTGGAAATTAGTTCTAATAATTGTATTACCTTTGCAGACCTAGGTTCTCCCACATTGTCACCTATTTGGAGTTTGTGCACGTTTGCTTATGGCCCTTGTTTTAGGTAACCTTGTATGTAATTAAATGAAATTAATTTGAAAATTTGAATTTTTGCAGCATTTGGGTGTTTTGAAAATTCCTTCCTATTTTTACATGTAAACTTACTTTCTTCTCCTTTTCTTATATTCTACCCACCACAGTTTTGGGGGTAGGTGGTTAATTAGGTTCGCTTATGTTTTTATTTTTAACGGAGGTACTGGGGATTGAACCCAGGACCTCATGCATGTGCATGCTAAGGCATGCTCTCTACTGCTGTGCTCTACCCTCTCCCCAACCCAGTACCTTTTATTCTACTGTTTCATTCCACTATCAAGTAAAAGTTCTTCTGAGATTTTTCTTTGTCCAAAAAAAAAAAAGAAAAAATCCTCATGTTTCAAGTTTTCCAAGAATTGTCTTTCTTGGATCATGGGAATCTAGAAGAAATAATAATGAAACATCTTTTCATTGACGTTTTCTTCATCCAGTATTTATTGAGTAGACTCACATAAGCTTTCCACTCCTTTTAGAGTAGTTCCTACATTCAAAACAGTTTATGCTACAAAATTAGAGCTAAGTTATTCTCTATAGCAGTGAAAGTAGAGTGGCTAAACAAATAAGGATAAGCAGGAATATTTAATAAAGTAATATGATTTGTCGTTTCTTTCTAATTTGGGCACCTTAGTTAGTCACCAGTGAGTGAGTGTAAGTTTAACATGGGAATAAATGTTAAAACACAATAGCAACCAATAATACCTACTTGAACCTATGTGAAATTGTTTTTTCTTTCTTTTTTTTAAATAATGATAATTTATCACCCAAATTTTGATTGTCTTTTGGAGTTATTTCTTTTATTCCCATTAAAATGTATTGTCTCTACTTTTTAATCCTTCAGAATTATATACTTATTTGTTATTGCCCAATAATAATTTATATTTCATACTATCACTTTTTTGTTGTTGTTGTTCCAACACAGAAAAACCCCAAAGGTAAATTTGGTTAAAATTTGGTGGTATTTAATGAAGTTTAAACTCTGGAATGACTAGAATTATTTTGCGAGTATATTTTTCCCCAGAATTGTCTTTGTTTTCATATATATATTGAATACATTTTAAATTTTAAAATGGATGAAATTTTGATGGGTTGAAGAGGTATTAAAGTTGAATAATTAACAAGTCATTTATAATTTGTTTTTTATTCTTTTCTTCTGTACATAGAAAATTCTGAGCTGCATAGCTCTAGAAAGTGAAATATTCATTCAGAAGAAGAGCATAGACTCTCTTAAGAACACATTTGGCTCTTCACCATGCGGCTAGGAAAACCTAAAGGAGGAATTTCTCGGAGCTCAAGCCAAGGAAGAGCCTATGAGAGTCAGCGCAAATCGGGCCGGCAGCGGCCAAAATGGGGAGTGACTGTTCGATTTGACTCAGGCTTGAGCAGACTGAGAAGAAGCTTGGATGAGAAGCCTTACAAATGTACTGAATGCGAAAAGAGTTTCAGTCAGAGCTCAACTCTTTTTCAGCACCAGAAGATCCATACCGGAAAGAAATCCCATAAATGTGCAGATTGTGGGAAAAGTTTCTTTCAGAGTTCTAATCTCATTCAGCATCGACGGATCCATACTGGTGAAAAGCCCTATAAATGTGATGAGTGTGGAGAACGGTTTAAACAGAGCTCAAACCTCATTCAGCACCAGAGAATTCATACTGGAGAAAAACCCTATCAGTGCGATGAATGTGGCAGATGTTTCAGCCAGAGTTCCCACCTCATTCAGCATCAGAGAACCCACACGGGGGAGAAACCCTACCAGTGCAGTGAATGTGGCAAATGCTTCAGCCAGAGTTCTCATCTCAGGCAGCACATGAAGGTGCACAAGGAAGAGAAGCCTCGTAAAACCCGGGGCAAAAATATTAGGGCAAAAACTCACTTAGTATCATCTTGGAAAGCTGGTAAAGGAAGGAAGTCAGTGGCTGGTCTCCGCTAAGTAAAAGGCACTGCTTCAGTTCTCTCTTAAAAAAATAAGAAGCATTTCTTTTAGAACTGGAGACACTTTATAAAAATTCTCTTAAATACTGTATCCTTTTCTAGCATGGAGAGGTTGGGAGTTTAATGATAGTTGGCTGAGAGGAATTACATTGAGTCCAGCCTTCCTCATTTCTTATGTAATCTGGAATACAAAGAACTGAAAATATGTTTTGAGAGAATGTAAGTTCCTTGATCTCATTTGAAGTTGCTTCCTGCATCATTTTGACAAACAATCATCATGTTTTGATGACACTTGTGTAAAAGTGTAGGAATTCCAATGACTACTCAGTTTTAGGACTTTCTGTGGAAGGAGTAATTAAAAGGGAGAAGAAATTAATTCCATTAGTTTTGGAGTTCTGCAATAGATGAGAGTTTATGTTTGTATAGTTTTGTGGTATATTAACCATTGGTTTGTTAGTATGACTCAAGATTCAACATATTAAAATTAATTCATGTTCACAGATTTTTTTAATCAATAAGGTCCACCACTCTGTTGGTTTTCTTTTGTTTCTTTTCTGCTGCTTATGGACAGTACTAATTAAAGGAAAAGAATTCCCCTCTTTTTCTCTAAATTCTTAGTAAGATGCTCTAGAAGCCAAAGAGAGAACTGAATTAGACCACAAATCTCCTGTTTCTCCTAGTTCTGGTCTTTCTGGTGATGTTACACTCTGTCACTTGTTTTCCAGAAGTTGGAATGGATTTATGTTAGTCCATCACCGTGTTTTTTACTTCTTTCAGGATTCTCTTGTGCTCTGACAAACTGAGCTAGCCTTTTAGAGCTACATGAATAAATAACTAAACCAAAATTATTTTTCCAAAACAATCTCAACTTGTGAATTAAAAATCTACAATTTCTATGCCTCCCTGCCTTCCCTTTTGAGAGCTTCAGATAACTCTGTTTACCTTAAGTGTTTGCCAGCAGCAGACGTAAGGTTTTTGAAAAGTCATGTCAGTGCATTGTAGTTCCTTTGAAACCTAAGTTTTTTTCTGAGTTATATGAGTTATTTACAAAACCAAACAAGTTTCTTACCTTTCATCAGAACAGTGCCAAGTGTTAAACATTCTGATCAGCCTTCAGCTCAGGTTTTAATTTCTGTTGAATGCTAACATTCTTCTGATTTTATATCTTTTATAATCATATCTGTTCCTGCTGTATTAATGACAGTTATCCATAAAAATAAAAAAAGGACTATTTTGCATACTACCTTCTATTAATTTTTCTCCTGGGAAATTGTTTTCATGATGTAGGCAACATCTAAAATCACAGCCTCCTGAAGAATCACTTGTTTTGCCTGTCTTTGATTGCCTCAGACTTGAACTTTGCCTCCCTTCTGGCCCTGCATTTGAGTGCAAGGTCATAGAAGATGGCCCTATTGACAGCTATTTCATCCAGTAGGTTATCCACAAAGTGTTTTGTCCATACAGGCATGTCTTGGAGATGTGGGCCCAGGTCCAGACCACCACAATAAAGGAAATAATCTCAATAAAGTGAGTCACATGAATTTTTTGGTTTCCCAGTGCATATGGAAGTTATGTTTACAGTATACTGTAGTCTGTTAACAGCAACAGCATTATGCCTAAAAAACAACGTATACACCTTAATTAAAATTATTGCTAAAAATATGCTATCATCTGAGCCTCCAGTGAGTCATAGCAATAACATCAAAGATCACTGATCACAGGTTACCATAACAAATATAATAATATTGAAGAAAATTTGAAATATTGCAAGAATTGCCAAAATGGGACACAAAACACCAAGTGAACAAGTGCTGTTGGAAAAAATGGCGCTGACACACATGCTCAACACAGGGTTGTCACAAACCTTCAATTTGTTGAAAAAAAAATCAGTAAAAGCACAGTGAAACAAGGTATGCCTTATGAAGTGATCACAGTTATCTTTTACAAAAGCCATTGTTTAGATTTTACTCTGATTTATGAGGTTGTCAGAGG